AGGGGGGGGGGGGGGGGTGTTGCAGAGGGCCGAGCCCGCAGTTGGGCTTCAAATTAACTCATCCATCTTACTGCATTCAGCCTAATATGCCATTTAACATTGTATTGCAAAAAAAAATTATACTGTGTAATATCGTTACATCACGTGATTCGAATTGTCTACAGAACTTATCACAGTGTGATAGTAAATAACATCAACCAGTAACAGAACCTGATACAACAACATATCAGACTGCAATGGCACATAATATCACACAGCAAAAGTATATTGTGCTACGAAAAGCAATTTAACAATATTTGTACACACCATCACCAGGGTTTTGTGTGTAGTGGCCCTTTAAGTGATAAGATAAGTTGAAAAAGAACATGAAGATCATCTATTCCAACCTTTAATTACACAGGAAAGATGATCTAGTCAAAACTTTGGTGGCCTATGCACAATATATGGGGGTGCATTTTGCAAATATCCAAAATATAGATTAGCCAAATGACAGCTGAAGAGAATGTTAGGACAAGTTTGGAGGATATCATTCATACAGATGAAGTTAATGACAACTTACGCTGGCCTCCGGGTCCTCCGCCATATTCCTGAGTGTGTCCAGGTTCTCACCTCGAGCCAGGATTCGCTCCACATTCTCAGTCATGACATTTGTTACTTCTTCCACCTCCCTCTGGAGATCCCTCACGTGGTCATTGCCCATCGGGGCGGCAGTCACCCCTGACATGTCCTAATGATGCAGAAATAAGAATAAGATTAGATTTAAAGTGCAAGTTACAAAGAGAGATACTCAAATAAAATAATATCTGTGAAGGTTCTCATTCATCCAGGTCATGGTATTGTCTGTAAAAAATAAGTCAGGGCAACTGAACTTGCTTGCTTTCTTGAAACGTCTTCAAGAAAAAATACAGCAAGTTCAGTTGCCCTGACTTATTTTTTACAGATGTAGTGTTTTGTAATAATACAGTGTGGCCACTAGATGGAGCTGAGGAACATAGGAAATAGCCATTTACTATCTTTTTTACCCTAGCTCGAATGTAGTGTGTTGTAATAATACATTATGACCACCAGATGGAGCTGAGGAGCATGGGAAATACGTATTTAGTATCTAGCCATAATATAATAGACCCCTAACACTTATTAGGCCCCAAAAGTGAAAGAAAAGTTTGAAATTTTATAAATTATATATAGTCTCTGGCCGGGAGATTCAGGTAGACGAGGCCCATAGGACTGTAATTGGCCTGCATGGCCAAGAGAAAGAGGGCTTGCGGCATGCGATGTACACAAACATCGAAGGCTGAGACAGTCAGATCTCGATGTCTATACATCTGTGGAGGGGGAATCGGTTTGCTCAGGGAAAAAAGGAGAAGTGCACTTTGTTTTAGGCCTCATTCACACGAGAAAAAGCCGGCACGTACAGCTCCGTGTGCGGCCGCATCGCGCAGTTCCCGGGAAGGACAGGTGCTGTGTGTGATTAGTACGCAGCCCCCGTCCTTCTCTATGGGAGTACGCGGCCGTTCACCGCCCTGCGCTCACCCGCCCCGCATGTCCGTATGGGTGCAGGTGTCCGTACTCGTAAGCCGACAGGATGGGTCACCGCAGACACGCTACAGGAGAGGGTCAGAGACCACAGACATAGTACAGGAGATGGTCAGAGACTGCAGACATACTACAGGAGATGGTCAGAGACTGCAAACATACTACAGGAGATGGTCAGAGACCGCAGACATAGTATAGGAGAGGGTCAGAGACTGCAGACACACTACAGGAGAGTGTCAGAGACGGCAGACATAGTATAGGAGAGGGTCAGAGACTGCAGACATAGTATAGGAGAGGGTCAGAGACTGCAGACATAGTATAGGAGAGGGTCAGAGACTGCAGACATAGTATAGGAGAGGGTCAGAGACCGCAAGGACATAGTATAGGAGAGCGTCAGAGACCACAGACATAGTACAGGAGATCGTCAGAGACTGCAGACATAGTACAGGAGATGGTCAGAGACTGCAGACATACTACAGGAGATGGTCAGAGACTGCAGACATACTACAGGAGATGGTCAGAGACCGCAGACACGCTACAGGAGATGGTCAGAAACTGCAGACATACTACAGGTGATGGTCAGAGACTGCAGACATGCTACAGGAGATGGTCAGATACTGCAGACATACTACAGGAGATGGTCAGAGACTGCAGACATACTACAGGAGAGGGTCAGAGACTGCAGACATACTACAGGAGAGGGTCAGAGACTGCAGACATACTACAGGAGAGGGTCAGAGACTGCAGACATACTACAGGAGAGGGTCAGAGACTGCAGACATACTACAGGAGAGGGTCAGAGACTGCAGACATACTACAGGAGAGGGTCAGAGACTGCAGACATACTACAGGAGAGGGTCAGAGACTGCAGACATACTACAGGAGATGGTCAGAGACCGCAGACATAGTATAGGAGAGGGTCAGAGACCACAGACATAGTACAGGAGATGGTCAGAGACTACAGACATAGTACAGGAGATGGTCAGAGACCGTAGACATCGTACAGGAGATGATCAGAGACTGCAGACATACTACAGGAGATGTCAGAGACCGTAGACATAGTACAGGAGATGGTCAGAGACTGCAGACATACTACAGGAGATGTCAGAGACTGCAGACACACTACAGGAGATGGTCAGAGACTGCAGACATACTACAGGAGATGGTCAGAGACTGCAGACATAGTATAGGAGAGGGTCAGAGACTGCAGACATAGTATAGGAGAGGGTCAGAGACTACAGACGTAGTATAGGAGATGGTCAAAGACTGCAGACATAGTATAGGAGATGGTCAGAGACCGCAGACACACTATAGGAGATGGTCAGAGACTGCAGACGTAGTATAGGAGATGGTCAGAGACTGCAGACATAGTATAGGAGATGGTCAGAGACTGCAGACATAGTATAGGAGATGGTCAGAGACTGCAGACATAGTATAGGAGAGGGTCAGAGACTGCAGACATAGTACAGGAGATGGTCAGAGACTGCAGACATAGTACAGGAGATGGTCAGAGACTGCAGACATAGTATAGGAGAGGGTCAGAGACTGCAGACATAGTACAGGAGATGGTCAGAGACTGCAGACATATTACAGGAGATGGTCAGAGACTGCAGACACACTATAGGAGATGGTAATGATGTCATTATCAGGGTTTCTGTTCCTCGAATTACCTCTGATGTCTCGGGGAGGGGATTGAATGGTCCTGATGGCACTTTTCTATCATCCATTAGCAGCACTCGGTGATGAATGAAAGTTGCTCGGGGAACAAACCCTAGGCTCAGTATACGACGATCCACAACAAAAAAATTATTATGAAAAAATGGTAGAAAACGTGAGCAGAGGAAAAGTAATTGTTGATGGCGTACATTCCTCAGCGGTGGTCTCTGCGCACGTTTTCTACCATGTTTTTTTCTCACTGAACACTGCACTCCGATGTTTTCATTGTGTGGATCGTTCACATATCGCTATTTAATGCAACATCTATCACTATTGATTAACATTTGATACCATCACTAGTGTATAGGTTTTCACACAGTGGGTACATTCCTTTACTGTTTCCGTCACTATCTTGTTTTTCACAGTATAATTGAATGATTTTTTTCTTTGTTTTATGATCCCATGGAAGATTTCTTTTGAATTGTTCACTATTTTGGGTTGTAGGCCAGATCGCTAAAACCCTAATTTTCACTGTATTACTTGGTTGCACCCAGTTTCATACCACTTATACCTCTGGCGCTTTGATATATATATATTTCTTGATCGCTGAAAGGATTCTCTCATCCTTTTTTAGAGCTGCTTTAGGTCTTAATTAATAATTAATAATATATATTTTTACTTTAGTCTCTTCTCCAGAAGCGCAGATTATTTATTTCACATCAGCGCTGGCGGATCGGAGCGGGGAGGGGGGAATGCAGCCCCTCCCCTGTCACGGCAGAGAGCCGGCACAGGATCGAGAGGTGAGCGAACCCGGTATGTGTTCGCTCACCTCCTGATCTACTGATCCGACCTGTGACAGTCTCATTGTCACAGGTCGGCTAGAACTATGAGGTGAGTGAAAAG